TGGTGGTGCCTCCTTCCTCCTCCTCCTCTCCTTTCTCCTCTTCTCTCCTCTCTCCTTCTCCTCCTCTACTCCGCCTCCTCCTCCTCTCCTCCTCCTCCTTCTCCTCGCAGCAGACGCGGAAGAAGAGGGAGACAAAGCAGCAACAACCACGTGCAGGCAGCAGGTCGGGAAGCGGTGACAACACATGCGTAGGAGCTCGACCGCAAGAAACCTTCCACAAGAGACCCAACCCCGAGACCCCAGGACGTCGATTATTAAATCTTGGTGGCAGCGGCACGCTTTCCAGGGCAAAAGCATCGAAAACCAAGAAACCCAGGGCACCCTGGCGACAAGCAGGGTGCTTCTTGTCATGTGTCTCCACTGTACGGTATCGAAATCCGCAAATCTCCTCTCCTGGAGGCCAGCGGAATGGTGAAAGCCGCTTGAAAGAAACTCTCTATTAAACAAGCCGGCTTTTCCAGAGACGCACAGGAAGGGAGAAGGAAAGGACGACACGGAGGAAGGACAGGGCAACGCGGTTGCCAACATTGCTGTCGCAGGCTCCGGCGGATTACCATAGATTTTTTTCCCTAACAGGTACATGCTGCAGCAACCCAGAAACAACAAAGGCATTGGCGAGAAGACGGGAAGAGAGGAGAGAAGGGGCAAAGAGCATTATGATGAGGATGCACAGCGATTCCTGGGCTTCCTTGGGGGAGAGGAGGAGGAGTAGGAGGAGGAGGAGGAGGAGGAGAAGGAGGAGAAGGAGGAGGAGGAGGAGGAAGAGGAGGAAGAGGAGGACGAGGAAGAGGAGGAGGAGGAGGAGGAGGAGAATGAGGAAGAGGAGGAATAGGAGGGGGAAGCAGAGAAGCCAAGTGGCGAACTCTTCAATCTCACAATGAAAGCGCATGGCCCCGCACTTGTAGAGCTGTTCTGCTGTGGCCACCGCTGAGCGGACCAAGCGGCCTTCCAACACAACATGCGACGCAAATATCCGGCGTCGCATTCTTTTCACAGCGTGGCTCCCTAGAAATCTGGACCCCTTCTCTGGAGCCGGCTTTTCCTCTCGAGTCGTTGTTCCACGGATTCGGGGCCAAGCGAGGGCCCCACGGAGGCCGAGAATGATCAAAAACCTTCCCGTGGTTTTTTCCCCACGACAATTATGTCGGGCGTGTCCCCCTACAGGGGGATGTTCGACGAAAAATTAAAATACCCCCTAAACATGCACCAAAAAGGTAAAACAATAATCAAACAATAGTCCCCAGACTATTTTTGGATTATTGTTTGGCTACGTTTGGGGTATTTTTCATTTGTCGTCGAAAATCCCCCTGTAGGGGGACAGGCCCGACTTAACACGACAAGAGGATGTCATTGGAGGCACAAGAGACGGCACGAACATACACGTTCGGAGCTCCGTGCGGATCTCCTGGGTCGGCGCTGGGCCAGCTTTCTCTGCGTCGAGTCGGGGAATGAGGGGTGAGAGGCCGAGCAGAGGCCTCCCAACTGGGGTCCGAGTCCGAGTAGCCTGTGTCGGAGGATCGCGCCGCATCGCCAATACAGTCGGGGCGTTGACCTAAGGAACCCCAAATAAGGAACGAGGCCCCTTTTTTCCATAAGTCAACCTTCGATTTCCGGCCGAAGACATAAGGAAAGCCCGAGGCAAGCTGTGGAACACTTAAGGAACGCGGAACCCCTCCCCAACGAAAAGGGTTCCTTCTTCAGGGCCCAGACTGTGCATCGCCGATGCATCGGCGACGGACGGCGACGCCTCGGCGCCGTCGGAGTGGAGAGCAGCGAGCTCCCCATCGGGCCGCCTCGCCGATGCATCGGCGATGCTGGGCGATCCTCCGACCCCATCTAGTAGGAGACCGATTTCTGACCACATCCACTTCCCGAGGTGCCTTGCGAAAAGCGGTTTCCAGAGGTGGAGGTGGGCAGTTTCCCCGCCCCAGGGGAAGGAAAAACTACCCACTTCCACCCCCGAGGGCCTATCATAGAATCGAGGATCCAGAGGTGGATGTGGTCAGAAATCGGTTTTCGATCTAGGGGGCCTAGATGACAGAGCGAGGGTGCGTCTGCGCGGTCGGCCTGTGGGCCTTGACGTTCTGGAGCTGGGGGCTCCAGAGGTCGGGGTCCTCTGGCTGCACGAGCGGCTCCTGGAGCTCCTGCCAGGGAGGAGGAGCAGCAGGACCAGAAGGAGACGACCGTAGGTTCGGAAGCGACTCCTGGGAGGGCTTCGTGACAAGTGTTAAAGTCTACCGATCCCAAACTGGGAAGCCATTAGGCCAGCCTGGCATGAATTAGTATCATGATCAAGCCAGGCTTAGCCTGATTGAGCGGTGCGGAATTGAACGTGAATGTGCCAGATCAGGCCGCCTTTCGACCACGGCTGTGCCAGCGCCGATGCCGAATTTGACCTCCCAGGAGTGGCACCCTGACGCAGGGGTGCCAGGGCAGCAAGAGGCTGAGGAGGAGCGGCGTGCTGGCCAGGAACATGTCGGAGGAGGGCGGGTCGAGACCATGGAAGCTCTGGCGTCGCGTCGCCACTCCAAGGCCTCCTGGAGGTGCCTCGCGCCGCGTCGACAAACGGGTCGGGATGGATCCCAGGAGGGGTTGAAACGACAGGCTTTGAGAGGACCTGGGCCCGCCTAGCTCCTACGAGCACGGGTCACACAAAGGGCGTGTGTTCATGTCTTAGCGGGCGACAAACGGTATGAAATAAACTGTTCCGCCGTCGGGGACGCCTGCCCCCTGGGCGGCTGCAAAGGTTAAAGGTCATACCACCACGGTGCCACGTTGGGATCAAACCTTTCCAACCGCTCTGGGGCCGGCGTCCCCGACGGCGGACAAATTAGTTTTACACTGTCCTTTGCCCGCTGAGCGTCGCCTGCCAGCCACGTGGCGCGGGCGTCTCGCCCGCTAAGCGCCGCCTGCCAGCCACGTGGCGCAGGTGTCGGGCCCCGAGCAAGCGCCGCAATTGGAGTGCTCATCCAGCATGGGCCCCGGCGTGCATCCGGCACGTGCCGTTCACCTCCCCCATCGACCAGGGGACCGGCGGGTTCTTCCCACTGGTTGCACCAAGGAGCTTAGATTCCCGTGGGGGGTCCCTAGTGCCTGCCCATGGGCGCCTCGTGGGCGCTCTTGCGCTGGCCCGCAGCGAGAAGACATCATTACTTACGAAGAACGCATCAATGGCACCCTCATGCTCCGAAAGAAAAGGGAACGTGGCGCAAAGAGCCGCGCCCTTTGGCCCAGTGCCCGCCTGTGGGCGCTTCGTGGGCTGACTGGGCTCCCTCGGGTGTCCTCGAATCCCCGCCCGTGGGGGCCTCGTGGGCGCCCCGTGGGCGCCGCGTGCCCTTGCTGGGAGTCCTGGGTTCTCGCCTGGTGCCCGCCAGCGGGCGCCTCGTGGGCGCGCTGTCCGTGGCGAAGGGCACGACTTACGACTACTGCGACTGCGACTACTACTACTGCGACTACTACTACTACTTTTACTACCACTACTACTACTACTACTACTACTACTACTACTACTACTACTACTACTACTACTACTACTACTACTACTACTACTACTACTACTACTACTACTACTACTACTACTACTACTACTACTACTACTACTACTACTACTACTACTACTGCTACTACTACTACTACTACTACTACTACTACTACTACTACTACTACTACTACTACTACTACTACTACTACTACTACTGCTACTACTACTACTACTATTACTACTACTACTACT